TGCACAGGTACAGGAGCAGGTCCACCCAAACCTGAAAGCAAAGGAGGATGCCCTGCAGCACATTGAAGAGCTGATCCTGCAGCTGCTCAACATGCTGTGTGTGGCCCAGCCTCGCACTGTGCAGGATGTAGAGGTACTGACCCTTCATTTCTCTTCTGGTATTTCTTTTCTGAAAAAGGACATGGTTTTAATATATATATAGAAAATGCTCATTTTAATCTGTAATTTAAAGAAGCAACTTCTTGTCTTTGCTTTCAACAGGAACGCGTGCAGAAAACCTTTCCCCACCCGATAGATAAGTGGGCGATTAACGATGCCCAGGGAGCTATTGAGAAACGTAAGAGAAGAAGCCCCTTGCTTCTCCCTGTGGACAAAATACACCCATTGCTTAAGGTAAAGCTGAACTCTCTCCATTTTCTTCCATTTAGAAGCCTTAGTTTCTGAGAGATGTTTATATAAACGAGGTTATAGTTTTGGATTACTAGTCTAATTGCTGCACAGTAATTACTCATCCTCCATGTTTAGACAAACGCTTTAAATCAATGTGACTCAACCTTCAACATGTGTTTTGCTCTATGTAAAGTATTTTGTTTTTTTCTTTGTTTAGGAGGTTTTGGGCTACAAGGTGGACTACCATGTGTCCCTGTACATCGTGGCAGTACTTGAATACATATCAGCTGATATACTCAAGCTGGCGGGCAACTATGTGGGCAACATTCGGCACTATGAAATCACCCAGCAGGACATCAAAGTCTCCATGTGTGCAGACAAAGTAAGTCGGTTGAGTTTGAGCTTATTGAGTGGAAGGAACGGCTATGTTTAATTGCTTTTTACTAATCTGATCTGTTTAACATCTGTATTAGGTGTTAATGGACATGTTTGACCAGGAGGAGGACATTGGCTTGATGTCGCAGTTCACGGAGGAGCCTTTGTCTCTCTCTGAGCTTTCGTATGACGAACTGGTGAAGCTTGAAATCGCAGAGGAGCGTCAGTATCTACGAGAGCTTGACCTTATTATCAAAGTGTTCCGGAACCATTTCCTGTCCCACCCCAAAGTCTTCACAGACGAGGTGAGGAACATCAAGCTAAAGCTAAAAACATCTAAGCGCTGCTTTTACGGGGTTTCTCACAACCTTTGAAAGGTTTCCTTTGATTTATTTGAGATGTCCTAGTTTGAATTTTTTTAGTTTCCTTCTGTTAATCACTGTTACAGTGGTACACTAAAGCCCATGTACTTGAACATAGCCCTACTAATACTTAGTTGGATATATTTTGTTAAAATTCACTATTCTACTTTGAGTTTTTGTCCAATCTTCTATGTGAAGCTTTGGGGCAAACTTTATTACACGGGCATTCTAGAAATCAGTGTTAGCCTGCATGTCATTCCAAAACCAGTTTGATGCTTCCCATTGGTGCACCCAGTTTTTAAAAGAACTAATCTAACATGTTATAAAAAACTAATGATTAGTGTTCTTCCAGTTTGCTCCCATACACTGTGTACAATATATACTGATAGTATTACTTGCTCTCAGCATGATACAGCCACTATCGTGCTTCATGCTATGTTCAGACCGCAAGCAGCAAGAGCAGCAAAATTTCATTTTTTTATGCTTGTACCAGTTTAGTTCTGACGCGCGGCTGAAGCATCTTTGCTGATCCAGCTGCGCGGTGGAAAAGTGGGTCTGATGCCCGGTGGGCGGAGCTACTCTATCCTTTCTCTGTCTGGAACAATGGCAGCTATATTTGCTGTGATCAGCGGGTAAAAAGTAGTTTCAATGTATTTAAGTGAGAAAGTCCACCTGAAAACTTAATCTGTGCAGTCAGTTCATCCAGATTACCATTCCGCCTATAAATATCGTTTCTCTGTCGGAGCCCCTTAGACCCCCACATACCGGGGGTGCGCTGTCACTGGGAATCCCATTTAACAGCAGTCTCTGGCTTGGTCTCCTCTTCGCAGTTTGCCGCGGCGGCTGGAAAACGTTTTTCATGTAATTAATCCAAACTGCAGGCACCAGGATAATAAAAGTGAACATGTTTTTCTGGCAGATTACAGCATTTTAAGTTAATTTAGGCGTTAATAAACTGTTTCAGAGTGATCTGTATCATCAGCGATGTGTCTGTCTCCATGCCAACTCCCAGATCAGCTTCTCTGATGTGGCGCATCCAGCAGCAATAGTTTGATTTTTCCAACTCCTGCATCAGCTACTTTCGCATTGCGTCAGGTGCTCAGAAACGCTGCTCATGCTGCCCAAAACACGCTGCAGGTCCTTTGGCTGCGCCTTGATGCGCGTCAACCATTGACTTTGCATGTAAACTAGCTGCTTCTGCTGCTTTAGGTGTGAACGTAGCATTACAGTTTTCCAAAAACATTTCCTCTCATTATGACGTATACCTCACCCTATGATCCATAGAACTGTGAAACAATTTACCAATATATATATATATATATATATATATATATATATATATATATATATATATATATATATATATATATATATAGTAAGAAAAAAAAGGAAAATTTAAAGTCTGAAAGTTGTAGAAACAAGAAGACAGAAAACATACATAGTATGAAAAGAATAGAAAAAAATTAAAGGAAGCTTTATAGAATAATGAAAAACACACTTTAGAGTGGGGAAAAATTCATTAATATGCACTTACTAATAAGAAAATGCCTAATCAGGTAAAGAAAGAGTTTAAAACATTGAAAAATAGCAACTTGTTAAACAAGCGATGTAAATATAAGAATCATAACCATTTGAACTGTGCAAACAGTTATTTTATAATCAGAATCATAATATGTCCTATAACATCACTATGGTGAATATTAAGGGGATTGGAACAATGCAAACACATTCTCAATCAGACCAATAACCTTTGCAACCAGAACCACATAAACTTTTTTTCTGCCTGTTGAGATGATAGTGCGGACGGCAGGATCTGTGGAGCTGCTTCTTTGTGCACTGAGGATGCAAAAGAATAAGCTCTGCAGCTCTGCCACAGCTGAATACGTTGAGTAGATGTACCACAGTGTTATCTTTGCTGTAAACCTCATAGTGATGCTTTTAAAATTATGTGAAATATGCTAAATAAATATATATATATAAATAAAACAAAAATCTATTAACTTAAATGCTAAATTTAATTGAAATTCCTACTCTGTTCCATTTTGTCAGTAGCTGTGGGCAGCTTACTCAGAGCCACTTTAGCCACATATTGAAACACCCAACAAGGCAATTTAAGCCAAATCCCCACTAAGATCATTGAAAGATTAAAACCAAAACTCTGTAATCTTTAATTTGGGCATTAGGGTCTAAAAGCCTTTAAAGCCTCCAAATAGGCTTTTTTTTTTAAAGAGTTTTTCTTTCCCCCTGTAAACAACATCCTTTTAACACGCCGCTTGTCCTCAAACCGGGTATTTATTGTTTACAGCTACTCTGAACTACTAAAACCTCACATCCTGGTGGCTAATTAACATCAAATTTGTATTTTGTGTGGACTGACTGTCCCTTACAAGTCAGCGGTTTATTTCGGGCTTCAAAGAAATTTCACTTTTTCAAGCATGAAAAAATATACTGTAGCAACTAATATAGGCCCTAAATTTCTTTTACTATTCAGGGATTAGTATAGCTTGCCAACATTAATTGATTTGAGTGTGCCTAGGTTTAGAAGAAGTTTGTGCGAAGTCGAGTTTCATGAATTGCTGTGGCTTTGCATATTTTGGGTTGGGTAATTTGTGGTATCATTTGGGTGAGGAGCATAAACCTTTGTGAGGCCCATAGGAACGCAGAACATGTAATTAAGTTTAGGCAGAAACAACATCTGCATCCCCAGCCAGAATAACCTCAATTATGTCTGTTGAAATACAGCATCATCTAAAGGAACTCAGAGATGACGAGGAAGTGCCGCATTTAAATAACGGCACGGCTGAGCTTCTTTCTAGACTGAAGAAGTCAGCAAATACTCAATAAGGTTCCCATCCTTTTCACAATTGTTCTGAGAAATATGAGCCATGTTGTTATTGATTGGAACACATTCTTATGAAGAAACAAACCATGGAGTATCAGTGCCCTACAACCATATTCTAACCAGCAAAAGAAAAAATCAATTTGACTGGATGATCTGGTTGAATTAAGTGTCTTGAAATGACATGTGTTTTGAATTGGTCCCATATAAATAAATATAATTCAAACTGAATTGAATAGAAAACATGGATTTCAAATCTTGTCATTTTTAAAAAATATTGAAAACATTTTTAATTCAGCATCTTCATTTCAATACCACTAAATCAAATCCAGTTTAGAGGTTTGCTAATGAACTTTATTAAAGTAGGTAACCAATGGCATCATGAAGGATTAAGGAACAGAACTGTTGGACAATGTCAACCAACCCATGCATGACGTGTCTGCAGAGATGGAGAGTTTCTTCCATAACAGATCTATGTACTCTAGATGCACAGATGAGCAATGGCTCCCTCCCAGCAACTGTTAGATATTATAAACATTACGTCTACTAATAAACCTAATTAGTGTTTGTTTGTAAAGTACCATTCAGTAAACAGAGAATTCAAAATGCTTTACATAAATTCAACAATAAAAGAGAAGAAATCAAGATAAAAACATAATAAAAGCAGGTAGTAAAAGAATTGGACCAAACCTGTAAACTAATAATCCATCATTTTACAGTTTAACAGTCAAAGTCATTTGTAAAAGAAAATATGTATTTTTAACTTTTAATTTAAAATATCTCAGGCGTCCAGTTGGGGCAGTGTTTAGCGCACACGACCCAGGTGTGGATACCTTAGTCAAGGGTTGTAATCCGACCTGTGGTCGTTTCCCGCATGTCTCTCCCTCTCTCTCATACTCCCTTTCTTGTCAGCCTACTGTTGAAAAAACGAGCCACTAGTGCCGTAAATAAAATTAAAAATAATAACTCAGGCTTTTAGTGCTTTTACAGTCTTCTTGGAGTTTGTTCCAGTGAAGTGGAGCATAGGAACTAAATTCAGTATGTATTGATGTGCTGATCCATTCAGTGATTTATAGTTTCTTCCTGTTAAAAGGAAGTTTTTCCTCTCCACTGTCGCTGCAAGCCTGCTTAATGTGAGGGATTGCTGAAGAGTCAATGAGTCGACACAATCAGCTGGTTTTCCTTAAATAGAAAACTTTGACTCAATCTGAGGCCCCGTCCACACGAAGACGAACCCTGGCCTAAACGCACAAATTTTTCACCAAACCAGCCT